TGGTGTAACATTCACAGAGAAAAATGCATTTATGGATAAAACCATGGGAGCACTTTATTTAGCCCAATATTTTGAAGAATAGGGAGCGGTGTTGTACACAAAAGGCATCACCTTTACTTGTAAAGTTTTGGTTTTGCATGCAAGTTGGTTTCATAGAAGTTACATAATGGAATAGGTTATGACCTCATACACTTACATTAGTGAGCATAATGGAAACATATCATAGAATCACCAAATCAGGGAAACATATTGTAGAATCACCAAATCAGTCATATACCTTTACACAAGGATGACTCTAATACACCTTTTTGTGCATCAACATCTGCAGAAGTTAAATCCTGAGCTCATAGGATAAGGGCTGTTAATGCACGAAAAAGGTGAATAATTCCTCTATGTGCAACCGTAACCAAGATGATGAACAGAAACTGATGATGTCGTAATAATAGAATGATGGAAGGACGGAATGATGGAACAGGGTAACACTACATGCTCTGGCCATTTTAAGTACAGTTATTCCGAAATAAGGCAAAATTTTATGTTGATATTGAACCATTTAAGGTATCTACCTACCAAATATGAAAGATATCATTGATTAAACAAGCAATTATCATAGTATTGCAAGCAATCCATAAGTCCCCTACCGGTTAGAACCCCAGCAACATTCTGATGGGCCATTTGCCATTCAATTTTACCAGTGAATGAATGACATGAATGAACTTAAATCTTTTGAGTTCTAAGTTTGTCTATATCACAGTAATGTGTTAAGTTTCCATGCCTAGTAAGGAAATTATGTTTATACAACCTTGTCATATTATTACGATGCGGGATTTTAAAGTAAATCCTATAAGGAATGAAGAAGTTGGAGTGCAAATACCAGTTTCTCAAAAAAAATCTAAGTTCAAGGGGGACATAATTCTGGAAATAGTCTTGCTAGAGTATTTAACCTTCTCAAAAATGTTGAGTGATAATAAGAAACATATATATGAAGTTTGAAGTAGATACATTAGGAAATAAAGAAGTTATTTAAAAAAGACAACATTTTTTTCCCCTAAAAAATCTAAGTTCAAGGGAGGTAATACTGATAATTTTTGTGCTAGAGTTATAAACCTTGTCACATATGATGTGGTTGATGACCAGAAACTTAAATTTAAAGTTTGAAGTAAACACCTTAAGAAATAAAGAACATATAGTGAAAAAGCTGAAAAATTTAAATCAGAATTCTTGAAATTCAGGCTATTTGTTGCCATAGCAACCAGAATTTTCAACATAGGAAGAAAAGAAAAAGATGTGCATAATCTCCAGACTGCCATCTACCCATATTTCAAGTTTCATAAAAATATTTTCAGTACTTTTTGAGTTATCACTGGATCCAGTTTATGTGTTAAATTTGCCATATTTTCAGACTATTTGTTGCCATAGCAACCAGAATTTTCAACATAGGAAGAAAACAAAAAGATGTGCATAATCTCCATACTGCCATCTATCCATATATCAAGTTTCATAAAAATATTTTCAGTACTTTTTACGTTATCGCGGGATCCAGTTTTGTGGACGGACTGACTGACGGACGGACGGACTGACGGACAGAGGGTAAACCTAAAGTCCCCTCCGGTAAACCGGTAGGGGACTAACAAGATGTTTCATGCTAAACATCTAAGCTCTAGCTCATTGGGCTTTTTAAAAAAAGATTTTTTTTAAGTTTTTACTATACACATATAGTTAAAAACCAGGACACCCCTGGGGCCGGGCCAGTTTTGACCCCAGGGCTTTTATTTGAACAAACTTTGTAGACACTAACTAGAAGATGTTTCATGCTTAATATCTAAACTCTAGCTATTTGGGTTTTTTCAAAGAAGATTTTAAGTTTTTGCTATACACATATAAGGAAAATCAATGACCCCCTGGGGCGGGGCCAATTTTGACCCCAGGTCTTTTATTTGAACAAACTTTGTAGACACTCACTAAAAGATGTTTCATGCTTAATATCTTAACTCTAGTTATTTGGGTTTTTTCAAAGAAGATTTTTTAAGTTTTTGCTATACACATAATTATAAGGAAAATCAATGAACCCCGGGGCGGTGCCAATTTTGACCCCAGGGCTTTTATTTGAACAAACTTGGTAGACACCTATTAGAACATGTTTCATGCTAAATATCTTAGCCATAGCTCTTTGAGTTCTTTAAAAGAAGATTTTTAAAGTTTTTACTAAATGCATATAGGGAAAATCAATGACCCCCCGGGGCGGGGCAAATTTTGACCCTAGGGCTTTTATTTGAACAAACTTGGTAGACACTCACTAGAAGATGTTTCATGCCAAATATCTAAGCTCTAGCTCTTATGGTTTTTTAAAAGAAGATATTTAAAGTTTTTTCTTTTGGTTGCCATGGCAACCAGAGTTCTGCATGGAATTAAATTCTTTGAACAATTTTTAAAGGTGACCACCAAAGGAACATTCCTGTGAAGTTTGGATGAAATTGGCTTAGTGGTTTATGAGGAGATGTCATTTAAAGTAAAAGTTTACGGACGACGGACGGACGGACGTCGGACGAAAAGCGATCACAAAAGCTCACCCTGTCACTTTGTGACAGGTGAGCTAAAAATTACTATGTTTTGTCATTTCAACAAAAGCCATATCTTTTTGTCAACCATTAAAAAACATGCCTGTATGTCCTATCAGGAATTTCTTTTTATTCATAGATTTCACAACAATAACTTTCAAAGTGTCTATACAAACTTTGCTCTAACTGTAGTCAATATTATATTCAATCCGGGACATAAACAAAATTCTCAAAGATTCAATACAATTATAAAGAGTGTAAAGATAATTATATAATTATTTAAGCAATACATTCTTAGCCATAAATTGATTGAACTTTTTCCACATACCTTTCAAGTGGGAAAGATCATTATTCATAAAAAAGTAAAAATGAGGTTTATCATTATATAAGAAGTTTAGGAAACACTTGAACAGTAAAGTCTTGGAGAGAATATGTGACAGTATATTTATGTGTTTAAAATTGATTGTGATACAAAACAAGGTCAATGTAAATCTTTTTGTGCTGTAGATCAACAAGTTTATCTTCAAGATGGCTACCGGTGGACAGATAAATACTAATAAACTTTCTGATGAAACATTTGATGTGCTATGTACAATCTGTAAAAATAAAGGTAAAAACACAGAAGGTGTAAAATTCTGTGTAGACTGCAAAGATTATTTTTGTATAGAATGTGTCCAAGTTCACAGTCAAGTGCCTTTGTGTGCTGGTCACAGGGTCTTGGATAAATCTCAAGTTACATCAAGAATCAGCAAAGGTCAGCCGAGGGCACCAGAAGAGAGATGTGACAGACACAGTCATAAACACATTGATATGTACTGTCAGAATCATGATCGTGTTGGCTGTTCTACATGTATGGCAGTTGATCACAGGTAAATATTTTCAATTTTACACATTATGGTGAGTTTTATAGTTTCAAAACATAAAAGCTATGTTAAAGAAAACTACAGCTATCACTAAAGAGAATTCATACTCCACCTGTCATAACAATAAATTTTAGTGGTATGAAACCAAATTTAATTTATAATGTTTCCTCTATGTACAGAAAATAATTATTATTTATTGCCTTGTAAAACAGAACCATCTGGATAACAAAAACAATCCAAAGCGTGGCCTCGACTTTAGACTTGCTATTTACTAAGTTTGATTACAATATCTCATTCCTAACTCTACAAATTGACAAGAAATCATTTTTATACTTTTGATTACTGTGACCATATACACCCTTAAACTTTGTTTGGTGGGGGGGGGAATAAAATCAATCCTTCCTATTGTATATATAGATGAACAATCTGAATTTGTTTTCAGGTCATGCCCAGATACAGTCTACATTCCAGAATTTATCCAAAATAACACTTACCAATCAGCCTTAACAGAAATTCAAACAAAACTTAAGGAAATATCAAAGACCCTTGCAGAACAAATTGCCAACTTCAAACAAGATAACCAAAGGCTGCTTAAAAGAAAGGCAGAGTTACTGGATGATATTAGAAAATATAGACAACAAATTAATGACCAACTTGACAAGCTGGAGAGAGATTTTGTAGATCAGCTAGAAAATATGGTTAAACAGCTTGAAGACAAGATTGAAGACAATCTCAAAAAGCTACAAGCTAATATGGCTAAGGTAACCTCTGCTAATGATAAATTAGCTTCACCAAACACAAATCAAGCTGAAGTGTTTGTTCATGTAAAGATTGGTGAAGATGCAGCTGATGTTGCAGACAAATTTATAGAAGATAACAAAAGCAAGAGCACTGGAGATGACATAAAGTTTCAACCTGATATAACAATTCTCACACAACTTAAACGCTATGCCTTTGGTACACTCACAAAAGAAGCTACTAAGACACCTGATACTTTATTTCAGATCAAAGGGAAAGAATCATATTGTATTACAGCGATGTTTGATAAAGAAGTCAGTAATTTTATTAGTACATGCTGCCTGAAGGATGGTACAAGAATTCTAGCTGACAGAGAATACAAGAAGCTTAAACGGTTCTACAATAACAACTATACTGTCACAGACTACTGTCTACCGGCAGCACCCTGGCAAGTGTGTTCAATCAATACAACACAAGTAGCAGTAACTTTACCATCACAGAAAGAAGTTCATTTCATTTCTGTTGAAGGACAAATGACCACAACAAACAAGATTAACACTGATTTTGAATGTGTTGGTCTTGCATACACAAATGATAATCTATATGTATCAGACCATACCACAAATGTGTATATCTATAATTTGTCTGGAATGAAGCTAAGTCAGCTCAGAATAATTCTCAGAAGATCATTACTCTCACCTGTAAGGAATCAACTGTGTAATATAACCAGTCTAGCTGTCAGTAAAGATGCTACAAGGATTTATGTTGCTGATAGGGATTGTGGGTTGATAGTACTGGACAACAAAGGCACAGTTATTACAAAATTTAATGGTAAAAAATTACAGAGGGCTAATTGTTGTCATGTCACTGAAGTAGGAAGTGTGTTGGTATCAGGATATTCCTCCAATAATGTTTTACAGTTTACATGTGATGGTGAGCTACTGGGAGAGGTCATAAAAGCTGACAGTGAAAAAGGGGAAATTGTTTCAGTATGTTGTAATCAACAAATGTCTAAAATGTATGTATAAGAGAGTCCAACAATAACATTGAAGTGTATGATATCTGATCAGTTAAATAAATGTCTGCAAACTACCTTCTGTAAGAATGTAATTGAAAGAATGTTCTGTTTAGAATCTACAAACATGAAAATGTGAAAAGAACAAAACTTGTGTTTGTGAAATGCAAAGCCGCCAAATTGTAAAGTACTAACAATAGCTGGAACAAAAGTAGTTAATGATTTGCTTGTACATATTTATGAATAAATTATCTTACAATATTGGATCAATGTCAAATCAAACTGTAGGTAAATATTTTAGCAATGTGAAACAAAACAATAATTATCTCATATCATATCTGGATATATCTATCAAAGGTTAAAGTTAATCATGTACTTTTAGTATCACTATCAGTCTTTAAGGTTGAAATATTGTATTCAGTTTATACATAGATTACCCATGCATGTAAAGTATTTTATACTATTTATAGTCATTATAAGATTTTTAATTTTTTTTCTTCATTCAAAGTCTTTGCATTGTGAAGAAATGACAAACATTACATTTTTCAAGCCTGTTTTGTTTACTTTTTCATTTTGTTTGATGTTGATTTAAAATTGTCAAATGATAAAGAAATATTTATTATTCATAAATCAATTTACATGTAACAAATGATTTATTGATAATTTTTCCATTTATTCTACAATGAAGACTGTATACACAAAATATATTATTGTGTTTATTATGTTTATTTTTCTCTACAGCAATCGGTTTCTTGATAGGTCAATTAATAAAATCTACTCTCACAAAACTTACTGAAAATAGTAGCATTTTATTTTGTTCCAGAACATTTAATTCTGTTTACGTACAATATTCATGTGTGTTAAATTACAGAAACTTGTAATGTTATAACTCTTAAGAAATCTACTTATATTACCTTTTTTTTATATTAATTTACATAAAATATCCCATCCGATATAGACCAATCCTATTTAATGTATGTATGTTTATTATGAAAGTATTTAATTGAATTTATATATATAAAATAAACAATGAATTTGACACAATATTACACAATACACAAGACAATTCATAAACAGTATTTTCAATTTTGTTATCTTTTCCCTAACATGATTTACCTTATTAGATGGTATATAAATGTCCTTACTATCAATTAATGTTATACAATGCAGCCTTTTTTTTTTCTTTTTTTTTTATGCGTTTATTTAAGGTCGCCGCCGGAAAGCCCATATGGGCGACCGTACACTCAAGTTGGGCCATCCTAGAGCGTCCCGCCGAGATTTTTTTCCAGCTTTATTGGTAGAGGAAGACCCCAGGTGCCCCTTCGGGCATTATTTCAGGCACGAGCGGGCACCTGGGTAGAACCACCGACCTTCCGTAAGCCAGCTGGATGGCTTCCTCACATGAAAGATTTCGACCCGAGTGAGGATCGAACCTACAGCGGTGAGGGACCTGTGATCTCAAGTAAGCGACCTTAACCACTCGGCCACGGAGGCCCCTTTAATGCAGCCTTGTTCTCAACTGAACCAATATAGACAAGTTGACTGATGACATCACAAGCACTTGCTACCAGAATTTAGCAGATTTACTGATTGGCAAAATGGCTAATTTGTACATGTATATCCATTTAATGGAAGCAAAATATTCATTTCAGATAACTTTTTTTTATTTGAAGGCTGAATTTTAAGATTCATATAATTTGTTACTATTGATAGATTTCATACAATAATATTCATTGAATCTATACAAAACTTTGCTTTAACTATAAATTTAAGTGATCAATACAATATTTTAACCAATAGAATAAGGCCCTTAAATAAAATATTGTTTGTTTCCCCTCCAGCTACCTCCAACAAAAATCATAGCTACCAAAAACTTTTATTGCCAAGGAATTTTTTTTTATTACTAAAGACTGAAGTGTCAATGAGAATCACATCTTCCTATCAGTCTTATGTTTTTGAATTATAGGTATACAAACTGGGATAATGTTGAAAACTATTTGCTTTAAAAACAGATGCATTTACAATTATTTTTAAAAATGCTGTAATTTTTTATAGAAAAAAATAGTTTTAGATAAAAAAATTATTTTATCTACCAACCTACATTACCCTACTTGCATGGGTCATGGGAGCGGAAACAAAGATAACTTTAATGCTGGCCTTATAGAGGGACATCCATTAAACTTTTTCCTCCTATTTTACAAAGTTGTTCTGATCATTTTTCATCAAAAAACAAAAATAAGGTTTATAATTACTGTTGATTCAAATATGATCCAGAATTGGAAATTTTAAATTTAAAAGTACATAGGGGTGGCAGGAAAAAGCCATACACGAAAACTGATTACCAGGAAAACAGGTGATAAAATATTATCTGGCATGATTATGCAGTGGTTATATTGCTTGTTTTGCATGCAGAAGGTCGTAAGTTCAAATCCCACAAGGGGTAATACTTTTATCAGGCCTTTTGTATTTTATTATTTTTTTTTACTTTCTATTTTATTTATTTTGTATTTTCAATTATTATACATGTATATATAATGCCATATTTTTATTCACAAGAATGCTAAAGCATTTTAATAAGTTATAATTCTATTCAATTTAACAATTCAAACAATGCATTAAACCTCTGTGGCACTCTCAGTCGCGCTGGAGCTGGTGTGTTCATCTCCAGTGCCAAGAGAGTACCTCAATAGGTGATTACCATGGAGAAATGGATGGCGAGGTGTTCACCAAGTGGCTTAATCAAAAGCTAATCCCAAATGTTTCAGCACACACTGTTGTGGTAATATACAGCGCACCTAATAAAATTGTTTGAGATGACCAATGAAAACAAGGTCTTTCAAAGAAAATTCAATTATATTTAAAAGACCCTGACGAAAACAGCCCAGGACTCATTCGCGTTCTCGCAATAAATAGATGATTTTCGTTGTAAGCCCAAAATCTCAATTGAATACCTGTGTATTGAGAAAATATATTTTTGAAAAAAATGGAAATTCTGGGATTTGAACCCGCACCTGTATAGTTGATAGACCAGTGTGCTACCAGTACACTACAATATCACACTGTCAGTAGTATGGCCAATAAGTATTACAGTCTTATTACAGTACTACCCATACACACATAACTTACCTTTTCTGGAGTGCACTGATCCATGCTATATTTACAGTTTCGAAATAAATAACCTTCAACAGTACATGAGCAGTTAAAGAAACATTTGAACAGTAAACTGGACAAACTATGTAACAGGAAGTTATCATGTTTAAAATCGTGATACAAAACAAAGACAATGTATGTCTCTTTCTTTTTGTGTTGTAAAGATCAACAAACTAACTTTGTTTGAACAAAATAATAAACAAAATGGCTACAGGTGGGTGGATGAATACGGATATTCTTTCTGATGAAGTGTTTGATGTACTATGTAAAATCTGTAAAAATAAAGACAAAAACACCGAAGGTGTAAAATTCTGTGTGGACTGCCAAGATTATTTCTGTAAAAAATGTGTCCAAGTTCACAGTCAAGTGCCAGTGTGTGCTGGTCACAAGGTGTTGGATAAATCTCTTGTTACTTCAAGAATCAGTAAAGGTCTGTTGAGGGCACCAGCAGAGAGATGTGACAGACACAGTCATAAACACATTGATATGTACTGTCAGAACCATGATAATGTTGGCTGCTCTACATGTATGGCAGTTGATCACAGGTAAATTTTAACAAATAATCAGTCACTTTATGGTGAGTTTTCAAAGTTCAAAACATAAGATAAAACTACAGCTCTTCTTAAGCTACCTGCCATTACAAGGAATATAAGTTGCCTGAAACCAAATTTAATTTATAATGTTTCCTCTATGTACAGAAAATAATTATAATTCGTTGCCTGGTAAAACAGAACCATCTGGATAACAAAAACAATCCAAAGTGCGGTCTCCAAATAAGCTTGCTATTTACAAGTTTGATTCCTAACTCTAGAAATTGACAAGAAATCATTTTTCTATTTTTGATTACAGTGACCTTAACCCTAGGGGGTCCTTAAAGCTATCCTCAACAGCTAAATAGCACCAAATAGAGAAAAGTTTGATAATTAATAGTATCTCATTACTAATCTAGTAAATGTCAGGAAACCATTTTAAATTTTTTTCTAAAGTGACCATGACCCTAGGGGCCCCAAAAGCAATCTCAAACAATGTCTACACAAAAGCTTGCTATATGTTTGATCATAATCTTATTCTTCATTATAGTTATCGTCTAAAAGCAGTCCAAACTGAGGTCTCCATATAAGCTTGCTATATAACAAGTCTGATTAAAATATCTTATTCATTACTCTAGTTCACTAATCATCATGAAACTATACAACCAACCAACAATAAGATATATACACCCTTAAACTTTGTTTGGTGGGGGAAAAATAAAATCCATCCTTCCTATTGTATATATAGATGAACATTCTGAATGTTTTCAGGTCATGCCAGGATATTTGCTACATTCCAGAATTTATCCAAAATAACACTTATCAATCAGCCTCAACAGAAATTCAAACAAAACTAAAAGAAATATCAAAGACCCTTGCAGAACAAGTTACCAACTTCAAACAAGATAAGCAGAGGCTGCTGAAAAGAAAGGCCAAGTTACTGGCCCATATCAGAAAATTTCGACAAGAAATTAATGGCCAACTTGACAAAATGGAAAAAAATTCTATAGATGAGATAGAAGATAAGGTTAAACACCTTGAAGACAAGATTGAAGACAATCTGAAAAAGCTAAAAGATAATATGGCCAGGGTTACCTTAGCTAATGATAAATTAGCATCTCCAAACACAAATCAAGCTGAAGTGTTTGTTCATGTGAAGATTGGGGAAGATGCTGCAAATGTTGCCAACATATGTATAGAAGATAACAAAAGAAAGAGTACTGGGGATGACATACAGTTTCAACCTGAAAAAGCAATTCTTACACTGCTAGAACAATATAAATCCCTTGGCACACTTCCAAAAACTCCTGGTACTTTATTTCAGATTAAAGGGAAACAATCAATTTGTGTAACAGATACACCACAGGAAGTAGCAACTGACTTCATAAATCCATGCTGTCTGAAGGATGGTACAATAATTCTAGCTTTAAGATACAAGAACAAGCTTAAACGGTTCCACAGTAACAACTATACCATCACTGACTACCCTCTACCTGGAGCACCATTGCAAGTGTGTTCAATCAATGCAATTCAAGTAGCAGTAACTTTACCATCATGAGAAAGAAGTTCATTTCATTTTTGTAGAAGGACAAATGAGCACAACAAACAAGATTAACATTGATTTTGAATGTTATGGCCTTGCATACATCAACGATAATTTATATGTGTCAAGAACACATGTACATATCTATACATTGTCTGGAAGAAAGCTAAAAATCTTCAATGAGTTCAGAGTAAGGAAATCATTTTTGGCATCCTTCCTTTTTACTACACCTTTGATACAGATAAATGGTCTAGGCGTCAGTAAAGATGCTACACGGATTTATGTTGCTGATGGGCATCGTGGGCTAACAGTACTGGACAGCAATGGCAAGGTTATAACAAGATTTAATGGTGAAAATTTAGACTTTGCTTCTTGTTGTTATGTCACTGAAGCAGGTAGTGTGCTGGTATCAGGATATAACTCCAATAATGTTTTACAGTTTACATGTGATGGTGAGCTGATAGGAGAGGTCATAAAAGCTGACAATGGAAAAGGGGCAATTGTTTCAGTATGTTGTAATCAACAAATGTCTAAAATGTATGTATGCAGATCCAGAAAAAACAACATTGAAGTCTACAATATCTGATCAGCTTAACAATTAATGTATGGAAACCAACATCTGTATAAAATCTTATTGAATTCAACATCTACGAATGGTAGATGTGAAGTTACCAAGACTGCATATGTGAAATGCAATGCAGCCATATTGTGTAAAACTAAAAATAGCAGGAACAAAATAGTTTATCATTTGCTTGAACATATTAGAAACAAGATATGTTTGTAAAACATGTATGCCCCCTATCGGCAGCCAATTTGTCATGTGATCAGGTTATTATGCATGACTTCTGACCCAATGAACAAGCAATTAATAAGGGTTATCTAGTATCTACTGGTCATGACTAGTCACAAGGTAATAATTATTGTGACCCCATAGGTTGTGTGCAGCAATTAAAGTTATTAAAAATCTTACCAAATAATATATACATAAATTTTATGAATCACATAGGCCTCATTAATGACAGCCAAGTTGTTATATTACATAAGACCTTCAAATGTGTATACCAAAAGCACATAAAAATATCAACCAAGGCCACTTGAGTTGTTGAGTTATTGGTCAGAAACAGTACAAGGTCACTATGACATTGACCCCTTGACCCCAAAATCAATAGGGGTCATCTACTGGTCATGACCAATCATCATACAAAGTTTGAAGTTCCTAGGCCTAAGGGTTCTTTAGTTATTGATCAGAAACCATTTTTATCTACAAGGTAAATGTGACCTTGACCCCTTGACCCCAAAATCAATAGGGGTCATCTGCTGGTCATGACCAATCATCATACCAAGTTTGAAGTACCTAGGCCTCAGCCTTTTTTAGTTATTGATAGGAAACCGTTTTTACCTTAAAGGTCAATGTGACCTTGACCTTTGACCCCAAAATCAATAGGAGTCATATGCTGGTCATGACCAATCATCATACAAAGTTTGAAATTCCTAGGCCTAAGCGTTCTTTAGTTATTGATCAGAAACCGTTTTTACCTACAAGGTCAATGTGACCTTGACCTTTGACCCCTTGACCCCAATATCAATAGGGGTCATCTGCTGGTCATGACCAATCATCTTACCAAGTTTGAAGTCTCTAGGCCTAAGGGTTTTTTAGTTATTGATAGGAAACCGTTTTTACCTACAAGGTCAATGTGACCTTGACCTTTGACCCTTGACCCCTAAATCAATAGGGGTCATCTATTGGTCATGACCAATCATCATACCAAGTTTGAAGTTCCTAGGCCTAAGTGTTCTTTAGTTATTGATCGGAAACTGTTTTTACCTACAAGGTCATATGACCTTGACCTTTGACCCCTTAACCCCAAAATAAATAGGGGTCATCTGCTGGTCATGACCAATCACCATACCAAGTTTGAAGTTCCTAGGCCTGAGGGTTCTGAAGTTATTGATCGGAAACTGTTTTTACCTACAAGGTCAATGTGACCTTGACCTTTGACCCCTTGACCCCAAAATCAATAGGGGTCATCTACTGGTCATGACCAATCACAATATCAAGTTTGAAGATCCTAGGCCTAAGCGTTCTTTAGTTATTGATCTGAAACCGTTTTAACATACAAGGTCAATGTGACCTTGACCTTTGACCCCTTGACACCAAAATCAATAGGGGTCTTCTACTGGTCATGACCAATCACCATACCAAGTTTGAAGTTCCTAGGCCTAAGGGTTCTTTAGTTATCACTCGGAAACCATTTGGTCTACGGACCGACGGACGGGACGGACCGACAAGTGCAAAGCAATATACCCCCTCTTCTTCGAAGTGGGGGCATAATAATAAATTATGTTACAATATTAGATCAAAGTCAAATAAAACTGTAGGTAAATTGCTTGGCAATGTGAAATGTAAAACACAATTATCATATATATCTAGATACCTTTATCACAGGTTTAAGTAAATCATCTAGTTAAAAGTATCAAATATCAGCCTTTAAGGTTCAAGTATTGTATTCAGTAAATGTACATATTTTCTTGCATGTATAGTATTATATACTTTTCATAATCATTTTAAGAGTTTATTTCTTCATTTAAAGTCTCTGCTTTTTTTTTGCATACAAATAGCATAATTATGTTTCCCAGCCCATCCGCCTGTTTTATTCATTTAGCTATAAACATTTGATTTGTTATATGCATGGATACAAGTTCAAAATGTTAGAAAACCCTGACTTTTTTTTTGCAATATTTTAATTGGTTTACATAGAAAGAGAGCTTTCATGAGTATAAGAAACCTGAAGTTCAGGCACATGCCTGAAAACTTGTACCCATGTATATGATAATAAAGAAATAATTTTGATTATTGTTTAAAAGGATTTGTTACCCCACTGTTGTTTTTTTTTTTGTTTTTTTTTTTCAACATCAAGCTATTAGACTTTTTTCATGAGATTTGTGTAACATTTGATGTCGGTCGATACTTATCACTTAAGCAAACCTAAGCAAAATAATTTCACATAATTTCCTCACTCTGTTTTCCCAGAATAATCATTATTATTGTGCAAAATGACCAAACAAATGAAAGGTGTTTCAATACTTTTCTCTCAAACTAGGCTAAAAATTGTGCAAAAACAATTGGTTTTCAATTTAACTCAGAGTTTATCTTTTTATTATCTCACTTGATCTATGCAAGAATGACAAATTTAATGTTCTTAATACTTTTTGACTTCATTTAATTATTCTTCAGGGTTTTGATGTTAAAAACAACATGCAGATTAATATTATATTTTAATTTCTTATGTCTCTCCTGCAATCTTTTTGCTGTTTTCTTTTCTGAAAACTTTACTTATATAAATTACTTTTAAACTTGTATGAAGTGTATGTAATATGTGTCTTATCATCATTTTATGTATATCTTGTATTATTTTTTACTTAATACTTGTAATATTGATTCCACATATTCCATGTGCTAGACCTGGACTGTTGTAGCATATATTTTCTAAGTAATACAAACTATATGATTGAAAATTGTTGTTTATTGTCATGGGATTTAAATGTATACAGAATACATAGAATGAAAGAAATTTTTATCAGTGTATTTTATTGAAAGTATGTGGGCATGCATGAAATTATGGCCAAATGCTGGTATATTTTATTCTGTTTATGTCCAATATTCATTCTGTTTATGTACAATATTCATGCATGTTAAATTACAGAGACATTTCTATGTTACAACTCTTTCAAGAAACAACCATAAGGTTATGAAAACAACCTAATTTTACTGTTGTTTTTTTTTAATCTTAATAAAAGATTTAATCACATATACATGTAGATGCATACACTTTAGTTGAAATAATTATCAGTGGCGTACCTGCCGATACGCCAATACGCATGGGCTTATTTAATGAGTTTCGAGAAATTAAAATAGGTATGCTTACAATGTAACCTTTGTCAAATATATGTTCATACAATTTTTTTTTTGGGGGGTTTTACGTCACATCGACACAGTATAGGTCATATCGCGATGTTCCAGCTTTACTGGTGGAGGAAGACCTCAGGTGCCCTTCCGTGCATTATTCTAGGCACGAACGGGCACCTGAGTAGAACCACCGACGTTCCGTAAGCTAGCTGGATAGCTTCCTCACATGAAAGAATCCAAAGTACCTGTCGGGATTCGAACCCACAGCGGTGAGGGGCAAGTGGTTTGAAGTCAACGACCTTAACCACTCGGCCACGGACGCCCCTTCATACAATCAAAGGCGAGTAAAGCACATACATGTAAAAGAAAAGAACATGCGAAGAAATTTTAGCGAGAAATTTTCAATATTGTGTATTTCCTTTTTTATATAAATAATAAATTTTTATTGTTATTTTGAATTACCATAAAAATTAAATTTATACCACCCTATGCGGATTTTATTAATCTTAATGCTTATAAACCTCACTGAACTTTATGTTTGTCTGGAACTTTTGTAGTACAAAGGAATACGTGTAAGCCTATATATATCACTAAACAAAGCCATTTAAACAAATTTCATCGACTATAGAAATGAATTGCATATTTCTGTAAACAATGACATTTTTTATGTATTTTATAATAGTCTTATTTATATATACATACAGAACAGAGATAAAATTACAATAAGAACAAAGTAAACCATGTGAGAGAATGTTCTTTTTTTCTCATTTTGAACTTTTTACAAAACTATAATATGTTTCCACTCTTGCTTTAAATAAACAGAAATTTTCCTGTTCATTTGTAAATATTTGTATGCGATACAAAATCCTGTATGTTATTTTTCTTTTTTCTTTAAAGGTTTTGACTTGAATTTCTGCCAGAATAGTAAGGCATTAATTTTAACTGCGTAATAGTATAACTAAAATATATCGGATGAATTTTAAAAGAGTAAAATTGAGGAAAAATTGTCAAAAACAATTATTCTCTAATATTAACATAATGCACTTCTAAAATTATTGTTTTTTATGGACCTTAGTGATCGCGTATCAATATATTTAAGGTGTGGTTTTGATGCTATAGATTATTGGTACACTTAAACATTTAATCTGTTGTGTTTGTTTTATGGCCATACAGATCGTTTTAAAAGCGATATTTTCCTTGTTCCTTCATTATATCTCATGTTTAGGTATGTTGAAATAAAAAAATAATAAAAAAAATTGAACAAAAATGATGTTAAAAACATCTTGATTAGAATAGAGATATATGGCTATGTAACATATAGCCTATGTTTTGTTTTTCTAATTGTGGCTATGTAACATATAGCCTATGTTTTGTTTTTCTAATTGTAAATACGTTGCATAGCAATATTTTCCTTGATTATATCTCATGTCATCCTCGGTAACCCAGGTGCATTACTGTATACAATAATACACGTATTAAATGTAGTATATTTGGAATGTGTACCGTGCACAATGGTTTCTGATGACAATCTCATGTCTAGGTATATTGAAAAAAAATAGAAAAAGAAAAAAAAGTTAACCGTCTTGATTACAATAGAGGTATCTGGCTATATTTTGTTTTCCTAATGGTAAATAACTTTTTTTAAAATTATTTAATAAAAGCTTTCTTCACGTCAGACTTCATGCAAATAGGAAACTTTGGCCCAAGGGACTGTAATTGGCGTATACTCAAAATAAACCAAGGTGCGCCCCTGATTATGTGTGTGTAAGTTTATTTTGAAAGTATTTAGTAAGATGGATGTATAATATATGTTATGTATTCAATATAATATTGCACAATGCACAAGACAATTACTGAATTGTTATCTTTTCTACCCAATATGATTAACCTTATGTAAATATTTTATCTATTGTTGAGTGAAACAAAGTAGGAAAAAATGTTCAGATATGCAAGTCATTGCATGAAAAAAATGATAAATAAAAGTGAAAACTGAATATGGGTCAGGGTCAAAATTATTAGGCATGTCAAAAGAGTGACAAGTACAAAGTATTTGTAGTCTTAATTTCATAGCTGACTAATTTGAAACAGGATGTTTGTAAGATTTTTGCTTTATATTTTATATATTCATATAAAAATCCTGTTGTAGTACCATTCATGACCCTAAGAGCTATAATTTGAACAACTTTTATGAACCCTCACTGGAAAATGACTTACGCATAATATCTAAGCTCTAACACTTGCCGTTTAACACTATTATATTACATTAAGTTTACACTTTACAATTTATACAAGGAAATTATATGAAACCCCTCCATACCAAAGCAGGGACAATCTTAACCCCAGGGCTAAAGTTTTGAATGATCTTGGCAGAGGTTCACAAGACAATGCCTTGCACAAATTACTACATGTATGCTATAGGCCTTATAGTTCTGGTTAAGAAAACAATTGAATACACAGACACATCAAGGGCTATATGCCATTGCAAAGCAGATCATCCCTCGCATTCACACCAGCAGGAGATGGCTTTATCATAAACAAGAGCTGTCAATAGGACAGCTTGCATGTGGCTATTCATACTAACTTAGTTATGCTGGTTAAATAGAGCTAACTTTACCAATCCCTCCAGTATGACCAGTCTCGATACAACTAAACATTTTTAATATTTGGATACTCAAATCACTACAAATTACCATACTGCATATAAACTGTTCAAATTTCAAATAGGATCATGTTAGTATAAGTAATGAAAATATATTTACAAGTTGATTCTGAGCTAGGCTCATATCAGCCACCTCGCCCCATGAAATGGGAACAGAGTCAAAACATTGTGTTGGTTCCCAGCCATAAACTTTAAGGAAATCTTTCACACCAGAGTAGAGACAGGTACCGTCCGGATGGAAATATATACATCTGAAATATCACAAAGAAAACATGAATTGTGGAGATTACTTCAAAAGATGTTTGTTTAAGCTGCTGAAGAGCCAAAAAGATCAATCTTCCATAGACCAGCTGACTACTTTCCTTATAAGATAGAATTTTATGTACCTCATGTAAGATTAATCTAGATTTACTTACTCTTTACTTATTCAAGATAGAATTTGAAAAACAGCTATGGCAGTCTGACTTAGAGGTTCAAGCGCCGGACTTATAATCTAATAATTGCTGGCTGTGTGGGTTCAAACCATGTCAAGAGTAAGGCATTGTTTCCTTGAGTAAGAAAACTAATTTCACATTGCTTAGTGCTGGTTAATTTCAGGTACTGATTTTAAACTTAAAGCTTCCTACACAAACTATATTCGGTTTAAATTAAATAACAGAGCTGTTAGTTTATTTCATTTCAATCATTTTCATCAAGTTCAAGTTCTCAAAAAACCAGTACTGGTGTGTGACATATGTAGACATGATTGTGAACAGCACAGGGTTTTAGACTTGAATGAATTTTACATATGCTGTTCAACAACTTCTCTAGTTCACTTTTACATTTGCAGCTTGAACAAAAACCCATAAATCATTTAACTATGAAATGCATGAATTTTGCTCATTATAAATAAAATTGTCTATAAATACCTGACAGGATTTGCATCCATATCTGTTGAACATATAAGTTGGAATGTTTCTAAGTCCCAAAATTTTACTGTCCTGAAAAAATAAAAACATTTGTTCCTTAAAGTGTGACTACATACAAATCACTTTTGATTGCATTTTATGTATCACTGAGTAAAGGGCATCACTCTTTCATTAATTTCAAGTAAATATTTCAACATTTTTTATTTTGGTGGAGTATTTGTCACACCAACAACCTATAGGTCATATGGCGACTTTACAGCTTTACTAGTAAAGGAAGACATCAGGTTAACTCCGGCATGAACAGGCACTTGTGTAGAACCATCAACATTCAGTTAGCTAGCTACATAGTTTCCTCATATGAAAGAATTCAAAGTCCCTGTTGGGATTCAAACCAACATTGTTGAGGGGCAAATGGTTTGAAGTCAAGGTCCTCAATCACTCAGTCACAGACTACCTTAAATATTTCAACACAATACAAAGCTGAATAATAAATTTTCACACTCTTTTCATAATACATGTGTGTGGGAATTTAACTGTTGCAATTCATTCAGCAATTTATTACATTGACATTTTATACTGTTGTAGAATATTGCACATACACAATCATACAGCAATTTGCTTGTTCAATACAACCTCTGCACAACACCTTTGGGAAACCAAATTCTTGGTTTTTGAAGAGAGGTCTTGCTCTATGGAGTTTTGGTTTATTGTGAAGAAATGACACTGTTGTAAAAAGGTAATTGCTCTACAGAAGGCAGCTGTGAACAAGATCTGCAGTTCCATCAGATTTTATCTCCAGCAAAAGTAAATCCTTTTTTATCTAATTTTCTTTGAGAAAGAAAATAATCTGCAAAGGCCTTTTTGTGCAAAATTAAATCTCCTGTACCTTGAGTATCATTAAAATGACAATCAAGAAATATTATTATTTACTTGGAGATATATGTATCAAACTTGCTTTCCCTTGGTTTGTAATCTGAGAGTTTTTCCACAAGAATAAGGTTATACACTTCAACGTAATGATGTTTAACTGATTTGTTTTCATTAACCAAACTTTGATGTTTATTTGTTTATTCATACCATTCCGGGCATGCAGCAATTTCATTGGTTTATTTTTCATAATTACAACAAGTGTACAACAATTTTATTGATTTTCTAGAATTTTAACAAGTATGGAGCAATGTCATTGGTTAATTTCTAGAATTATATCATAATCAGCCAATCAGATGGCATGTTACAAAAATTTGAAATAGAGTTATCTTACTTGTCTGAGCTACCAGATGCCAGTAATAATTCATTAGGATGGAATTCTATCACATTAACACCTGCTGTGTGGAGTCTCATATCCGTCATAAGTTTACCAGCTGTCAAATCCCAGATCTGGAAAAAATATATAAATCATCATCAAAATGAATATACATTTAAAACATGTAGGCAGTCTATCATAGATGGATGAAAGGTTGAATAAAATTACCCCTTGTTGAAAAAATGGTTAAATCTTAATTAATTTACATTGCTTCAAGTGGCATTTCTTTCAAGTCAGGAGTATAAAGCGGCTTTTCTTACAAAAGTCTCAAATGGAATTTTTGCTTTACTGTACCACCATATAAAGTTGCATTTGTTCTAGAGGTGTCATTGATAAGGATTTTTGTATCGATATATCGGTAATGAATTATCGGCGATACAGCGATATATCAATTGCCAGGCTAAATGTTAGCTTTCAGGTCTTTTTAAATGTTTCCTAAGGACACTCACAAAGCAGTTATATTAAGACAAATGTAAAAAAGATAAACTATGAAAACTGAACAATTTGTTTCTTTTTTTATCATATAGCTATAAATGAAAACTAATGACTAGTAACTATAAAGTTTAAAGCCTTTTCCATTTTACTTTAGTTGTTGTTGTTGCTATTACGTAGTTACTGATCATGCTAAATCCCGTTCTTGCCGTTCCAATTAAGCCGGGTTTAATTGGCAAATTATAGTGTTTAGAACCTGAATAATTATTAACGTTTAACATTTTGTACATAATTTTTACAAAGAAGCACAAAATTTTTCTTGGCATTTTCCCTTTTAAAATCTGAATTGAGGGGTCTTGACATCCACTTAGCAGACGTGCGAGATTACAACGAAATTAGGCAGTATTCGTTAGAGACACTGGGAGGTAACTTTGGCATTGATTTCCGTTTTCATTTTAGAAAAAAAAAATGTTTTGGATATGCCGCTTTTATTTTGACGTTTTGCGACAGTAAACAGGTCTATCTGTTCTATAAAACCTGTTCTTCAGCTAGAAATATATGTGCATTCGATATCCGATATTTAAAAAATGGAATCGATATCGAATCGGATAACAAAGATCGTTGATACACCGATATCGATTGAATCGATGACACCCCTAATTTGTTCGATACAAAAGTCAAAGGTGGCATTTCTTTCTATATAAAAATCAAAACAAGAGCTCCTCATGTAGTGTTAAAGCTTATCTGTTAGAGGCAACAACTATCAAATACCAAATTTTTATCAATATTTTAAGTTAAAAAGGGACATAACTCAAAAACTTTAGATTAAGGCCTCTTGCCTTGTCATGAAAAGAAAGTATTCATGTTGACAAGAGAGAGAGAGAGTAGACCTTATTATATGACCATTAACTCTAGCTATTTTGGGAAAAGGCCTTTGGCATAATTTGGGATAAATTATTAGACATTTCGGAAATTTGAATTTTTTTTTAAAGTTACTAAACAACCTTATACAAGACTTTTAAGTTACAGTCAAGACTGCCTTAGCGACCCCCTGATTTCAACGACTCCCTGTCTTATCCGACCTTGTTTCAGTCCTCCCAACGTATTTTCCTATATAAATGGTCTGAATTATACGACTCCCTGTCATATGTGACAAGCGACCCTAATTGTCTGGTCCCAATGCATTGCTTTGTCTGATTTAAACGACTTCCACACCTTTTAATTGTCCGTTTATCAGATAAATAATACCTGTTTTAACACCCAGAGGGCCAAAATAATTAAGTCCAATATTATCCAGTAGTCAGTACACTTCAAACAACCTCTACACAACATTGCATCAATACACAGTTTACATGTACATACAGGTATCAAGTGACGTAGTATATGGTAGGCATAATGCAATCGATGTGTGTTAACAAATTGAGGTGTGAAGTACATAATGACCTGATCAAACTGGATTACGATTTTGTGTCAGATTTTTTTTTACTGTTTATGTAATGCCAACGGAAGATTTTTTTATTTCACCTTTCTATTGCTACATGAATTCTACGTGAAAATGTTGATAGATCTACCTTCCATTAAAAAGAGAAAAAAACTTTGGATATGAATATGTCTTAAAGTATGATATTTATTTTAAGGATTTTGAATGCATCAGATTCAAGTTTATTTGTACTAAAATGATTCAATATAAATCTAATATAAAAATAAAATTATTTTTATATGATATACATGCAATTAATTATAATGTTTTACAGGGATTCTCATTATATTTACATCAAGTATTTAAAGAACCTATGTTTATTTACAATTGGTTACATATTATTCCTTCACACAGTTATGTATTTTAATTTTCTTTGAGACTGTATTAAGAGACTCCCTGTCATATGTGACCTTTTTCTGAGGGTCCCTTGGAAAGTCACATATGACAGTCTTGACTGTATTAACATGTGTATGATCATAATTATAACCTGTCACTTTTTTCCTGTCACTTTTTTCATAAGAATCAAGTAAAAACAAGCCCATTTTTCTTAACATTGGGAAAAAAGAAACTATTTTGGATTGAGGAAAGAGGCCTATTTCTACCCCTGGTGGTAGGGTGAAAATTCCCTTTCATTTGTGCCAGATTATTTTTTATAAAAACTTTTAATTAGTTTAAAAGTTATGGAAGGGACCTGAAATATGGACTTTTTACTGTTTGCCTTTAAGTGTGACTTGACCTTGAGGGATTAAAACTTTTCATTCGTTAAAGTTATGGAGTGGACAAGAAATGTGAACTTGCTTACATTTGACCTTTAAGTGTGACTTTGGCTTTGCACAATGTCTCATAATGGTGATTATTTGTGCTAAGTTATTTCAAAAACTTTTCATTTGTTATGAAGCTTACATGAAAATGTAACAAAACAGACAGAGGGACAGATAAAGGCCATTCCTATAATTCCCTTCCCGCTACGGAGCAGGGGATTAAAGTCACTTTTATCAAATTCCAAATGTTGCATCATCTAGGCCGCGCAATTGCTCGATTCGCGCATATTTTTTGCAGATCTTGCATTTTAATGAAGTCAATGAGCGTCAAGTTAACCTTTATATTATTTTGAACGCTTCTGCCATGTTTGTTTTCACTCGCGGTAATGACTAAAATATGTACTAAGTCGCATGAAGCACCCCGTCGGTTTATTTGCTTGTGTATTAACGGCTTGATCTGCGCACTTCACAAGTATTCGTCAATATTTTATTTTATTTTTCAGACGATTGCTTCAAAAATGCCTAAATGTATAATAAATGAATTCTTTTCGATACATCATATTGTTAGGTAAATGCATGCCGCCATCATTTTTTTCAAAGCACCCAAATTTTTCAGTTGAGTGGGGGACAATCCCCCAAAATTTTGAAATTCTAGAAGCAACACTGATTCCAGAGGAAAGAAAAAAACTGACATACCTTGATAAGTCCATCTTCCCCACCTGAAGCTATCCATTTACCATCAGGACTGAATCTCAATGTATTCACCGGATTTGTATGACCCTTGTATGTGTATATACAACCTTTACGTCGTATGTCCCATAACTAAAATTATACAAATAATTTTTATAATATCACATAATTTATAGACATACAAACTATAATCAATAGAGAGAAGAACTCAAGGAATAAAAATTTTTTAAATCATCTGTTTTTTGTTTGTTTTTCCCTGTTATTAATGCCCAATTTTTTCCCCCCGTTATTTATGCCCAATTTAACTCCTGTTTTTGGTCATATCTCAACAGTCGATGAACCTGAATGGTATTTCTGGATAACTAACCAGTAATTACCAATTACTCTACAAGTACTCATCCCATATTTTTTTCCAAATCAGGGTAAGAGATAAATGACCATAAGACTCAATGTCTGAGATCAAGTGTCACACAGAAATATTACCCACGCAAAGAATCAAAACAGCAACTCCTGCATTACTAATCCAATCCTCTCCGATTTTAGCTGAGGGAGCGGATCTTTAACATAACACAAACATACATCAGTTTTAATCAAATCTAAACATTTCAATTCTGAAAGAGAACAAGAGCTGTTGGTAAGACAGTGTACCTGACTATTCTAAGTGCATGATAGTAAAATAAGAGCCTGGATAATCATAAATGTAGACTTTTGTAAGTTCAAACAGTTCCAAAAGGGGCATAACTTTGTCAAGTTAGAGTTATGGGCAGTTCCAACAAATTCCCTTCAATAGTTTTGAAGATATCAATTTGCTTGCTAAAACATTATCAAATTGTAATGCAATGCCTCGGTGAGTACTATGCTCCTACTATTCTTTGAATAGTCAACCTAAAAATATAATTTTCCTAGAATCATCTTTCGATTGAATTTCAAATATAGTACACTGGTATCGTCATAAGGCATTTTGTAGTCCAGCTCCTGGCCCCTTGTTTATGTAACAAACAACATTATACAGATCCATTGATCCCGTTTTTTCTTCATCGTTCTCCTCTTTTTTTTACAAAGCCGACTCGATGATTATAAATATTGAAATTATAAACTTTAACAGCCAGCAGTGTAAATTTTGGTCAGTTTGAACATATCTGCAAGCTGGTCTGACTAAGGTTATCAAAATGGCAACTAATGTTACTATGGATTAATGAATACCTTGATAGTACTGTCTTGTGATCCAGATGCAGCATAATCACCATATGGATGAAAATCTAAACTTTTTATACTTGATTTATGCCCTGTTAATGTCCGCAATACTGAAATATTCAAAAGTTGATCGTTGACACATAAAATAATTACTTACACAAAAAAATGAACCCTAAAATTTATGAAAATTTTTACCATACCCTGCTGACTTTTGAGATATGGACTCATTTAGCTTTTAACCGGTTTGTTGTCATTTGCAGGTCTATAAATTGTAACATAATAAAACTGAGCAGCTGATGGTATAGATTCAGGTATGTGCTATATGGAACAGAATTAGTGCATTTATTCCATCTTGCTTTATGATATCGGGAATTACATTTTGCTTGCTTCTATACTTCTTTATGACAATGAAAACCTGCGTTTTGCTGAATTCAATCATGCTTTGTGATTACTGAATGCACTTTCATGTAATTGCAACCTTATGTGTTCCCTACTAAACCATCAAACTCACATATTTTAATATGCTATATGTTTAATTGCATCTTTTATTAAGGAAACAACGTATTATGTTTGGTGTTTAAGATAACATTCTTTGCTTGTTCTTGATATAACTATATGTAACATGGTAATTAAGTTTCTGTCAGTATCTTTAATTTGCTATAAATCTGCCACTTATATTGTCGACATTATGTCACAATAAATTATTAATTTTGATCAATAATTGGCGAATTTGATGTGTCTTAGCATTCATATGCTTCAATATATTCACTGATTACAAATAATGCAATACGTGATCACTGCGCATCGACAACGAAGATGACAACGATAGCGATATTATAGTCGCATGTGACAGTACGCACTAAGCAGTTGGCAGTAAGCATAATGCGAGTTGCAATAATTTGTGTTCATATTATGACAGCAGGTGTCGCTTTGTCGGTACATCCCGTTATTTTTCCGGATGATCCCGTATTTCGGCACGTGGAGAACAAAGTTACGTCCCCTTTATACAGGGGCGTATACAGAACAGTGTTATTTGGGGACTGACATGTAAAGGGAAAATTTACTGAAAAACAAGAGAACACGATGCGACGACGAAAAGTGCGTGTTTTTGAAGATTCCGCCAGCATGTGGAAATAAAATGTTATAGATGTCTCTAATAACTCATCCTACAAGTGGCAACTCACCTCTATACAATTGTTTACACTTCTTTTTGAGCGTGTGTGAAAGTCGTATGAGCAATAGTGAAATTGAATTTTAAGATATACTATGCTCAAACTTACGGTGGCACATAGGTGACATGTGTGTGTTTTTATTTATCTCGTGCGCACGAGATACTGTGTCGTGGCCACGGGTTACTAAGTCGTGGCCACGAGATAGTTAAGTCATGGGAACAAGATATACTATGTTGTGGCCACGAGTTACTAAGTCGTGGCCACGAGATAATCAAGTCGTGGGAACGAGATGACTAAGTCGTGGCCACGAGAAAGTTTAGTCGTGGCCAAGAGAAAGTTTAGTCGTGCGAACGAGATAAATAACCAATCAAATTACACTATTTATATGAATTTTCCTAACAAGGATGCCCCTACTTCTCCTGTCCGTAAAAGTGCCATTTATAAAAGTTATTGATTGGTCAAAGATTTAGCGTCATTGTGACCCTGATTTCTGACCAAATTGCCTAAAATTTATTAGGTGTCATCTACTGATCTTTTTGAGGCTATATAAACCACGGCTTATTCTTTCTAAATCATTCATCAGACAAGGAATTTACATGAAGTGTCATGTTTATCTGACCCGTGACCTCAAACATCGTTATAGGATATCTACTGTCCGTGGGCAATATCCCTACCCAATAAAATAAACCAGGACTAAGTCCCTCTCAAGTTATGGTATAAACAATGTTGTATCATAGTTTGGGGACCTTTCTGTTGAAAAAGTGTCAGTGTTAAATCGTATACATATACATGCACAGTGCGGTAACTGGAGTGCAGGTATCAGTTACCCGCACTCCAAATAATGCCCGTTGATTGGTTCATTTTTGCTGGGGTTTACTTATTGTGACGGCAGAGAAAGGGAAACGGGCAGAAATATCATATTCAAATGCTCGTTCATTGGTTCATTTTTTCTGGGGTTTCGTATTATGACAACAGGGAACGTGCTGTCATGTTTGACTATGATACAAAAGAGAAAGAACACCAAAACACTCGGCAATCTGATTTATACTCGGGGGCTACGCCCCCTCGTACAAATCAGATAGCCTCGTGTTTCGATGCTCTTTCTATTACTTGACAGGCCGTTGTACGTACAAAATGACCAATTCTATCATAGAATTGTCCCAACAAAGGGCTATAACTTAGTCAAAATTAATGTCTGATTTATGGGCCTTATGATCCTAAAGACATGTATCAAGTTCAAAGTGAACACTTTAGTATTTTCAAAGATTAATGTTGCACGTAAATCTTTAAACAGTAATTTTTTAAGTTTAAAAAATCATGGTGTAATCTGATTTAATTATCTAGTCTACACGACTTAGTTATCTCGTTCCCACGACTTAAACGGCTTAGTAGCTCGTGGCCGTGACATAGTATCTCGTGGCTACGATATAGTATCTCGTTCCCACGACTTAACTATCTCGTGGCCACGAATAAGTAACTCGTGGCCACGACTTAGTACAGTACAAATTTGATTTTTTTTCTGTAAAATAAAATAAATATAATTTGGCTTCACAAAAATATGTGTGCTTTAAATCCTTTACACTGTAAGTGGGCAGTATGAATATACATGTATAGTAATTATTACAAAAAAAAAATATGGAAGTTTCTTTTAAAGACAGGCACAACTTTACTTGACCCGTAATAAGAAAAAGCAGACTCCTATACATTATGTGTATGTGTTTTTTATTTAAAAAAAATATATTTTAGTAAGAATGTTATAGATTTTCAATAAATTTCTGTGATAAAAATATCTTACTGAAAGATGTGCATAGTATATCATTAAGCCCAAAATGTATGCGAATGTGGTGGTGTGTGCGGGATGTTCTGATCTATAATCAGACACACATATGCCCAACATTTGAGCCGCGTCACGACAAAACCAACATAATGGGTTTGCGACCAGCATGGATCCAGACCAGCCTGCGCGTCGTCGCGCAGTCTGATCAGGATCCATGCTGTTCGCTTTCCAACTCTTTTACAAGTAGAGAACCTGATAGCGAACAGCATGAATCCTGATCAGACCGCGCGGACGCGCAGGCTGGTCTGGATTCATGCTGGTCGCAAACCCATTATGTTGGTTTTGTCGTGACGCGGCTCATTTGTAATTGACTATGCACATGTTACAAAAAAAAACAACTTCCTTCTTTCCTTATTTATACATGTTTATTTTAATGTGTTACATACCTATTCGACTTAAGTTAAAAGGCCAATAATTTTTGCTTTTTAATGTCCAAGTCATTAGATAAAGACCTTCGCAGTACCTAGGCCGGTGCTTAACAACTGGATGACAGCATAATATGTTTTGGTAAGGGAGTACACTAAGAAGACTATTGCATGAAACTGACACGTATATATTCCATCCCAGCTCATGAACGTATATTTGGGGGTAGGTGCAGCCCTTAAACCAGGGCCTGAATCCGCCACTGTACGTATAACTGCACCCCATTGAATAACAGTTTACGAGCATATTTTTTCTATTAGACTGTATACATAATTATATAAAATTATATTGCATAATCCTTTACTACTTGTATTTAATTTCTTTCAACTGCAATTTATGTATTAAGCGCTTACTACGTATTTTATTTAAATATACATGTACGCAGTATCTATACGGAAAATTCCGATGATAGGCGAATCGTGGAAAAATTCCGTTGATATCGATAACAGAGTTCTCGCCCCTTAACAGTTCACAAATCGCGACATAGTTTTTTTGTTTATCATAATGTAAGGTGATCAAACATAATCCACAAAGCCTCGGACACCGAGCTTTATTAAGCATAAACACTGAATAATGGATATAAGCGAATCCATCAGGGAACAAAAAATAGTCAATTTTAAATTACTTTTACATTTAAAAGTAATACAAAAAAACTAAACCGTAAATGGTTTGTATAGAGCATGAAGAAAGGTAACTTATACATAAAGGTATATGACGTTAACATTTTAGTATTCCAAATGGCTTCTTCCAGTTTCATAGTTATCACTCAATGAAAGAATTGGTCACTACGAAATGTTTGAATGCAATAATGAAAAATGGAATCCAGCATAATGCAAAGTTTAAATATCATAAAGCAAGATGGACTTAAGCATAATGCAAGTTCTAATATCATGTAGCAAGATAGAATTAAGCATAATGCAAGTTCCAATGTCATCAAGCAAGATGGAATCAAGCATAATGCAAGTTCCAATGTCATCAAGCAAGATGGAATTAAGCATAATGCAAGTTCCAATGTCATTAAGCAAGATATAATAAATGCATTAATTCTGTTCCATAGTGCTACACTGTTTGTAAAGTCCCATCAACAGGTAAGGGACAATAAATTGTTAATATTGCAAAGATGGTTTTACAGCCTTTATAGAAAAGTGATTTTTTTCAAGAATTTTCTTTAAGATATCATCCCAGTGAGTAATAGTCGGGGAAAAAACAGCAGCATGACTGTCATAGTGTGATACTCAAAACTGAATGCAAAGGAACATGTTTCAAGTGAGCAAATCTCATACTCTTGTCAAAGATGTCAATTATTCAACAAGATAACTAATTCCGAAATTGTGAGGGGAATATTACCAAACTATATAGCACAATTTGGTCAAACTTTATCACTAATTCAGAATGTGGGGAAAGAAAGTTACTAAAACGTACAAATATGTATAGCAAAAATGGTCAAACTATATCATTCAAATTCTATTCATTTTTTGTGTGGTTATTCACAAATGTTAGATATATTTGTTAGTCATGTTCCATGCCCTTTTTGTTCCTTATTAAATGTAAATAACAAGAAACAAAATGCTTTCAAAGGTACACTTTAAAGGTTTAATTAACTTACTTTTGGCCTCCTCTAGATTCCATATTTTTAATGCCCCTGACATTGACCCTGCAACAACCATTTCCTCATTCTGTCCGAACCTCACAGAATCCACTGGTGTTGTATGACCTGCCAGACTCTGTAATATACAAATTTACATCATGATTTACAGTTTTCTACTATCCCTATGAACAGAACAAGAAATACTGTAACAAACTATTGCTTAACCAGGGCACATGCTGTCAGTTGCCATGGTTGCCATTTATGATTATTTTATAAAGTTGGCAAGTATTTTTTATTTTATTTTTTTTTAAATTTTGTCTTTGTTTTTCATTATTTTATAATCACCCGCTATAAACCAACTGTGTTTGTTGTCAATCATGGAACCATGAAAAGACTGATGAAGTTTTGGCTATCAAAATTTTCTAAATTTCTAATTTCTAAATTTTTTATTTTTTAAAATGTTGGCTATCAATTATTGTAACAAAGTCAGTGTGAGCCCTGCTTAACTCAAGCATGCGTATATAGTGATACATATGTACAATGACTACATAATATTACACTTTTTTTTTTACATAATTTTTATTACCTTTGCTTGGCATATATCAGATAACATTTCACAGTGAAGTACAAATCAATCAAATTTTGTAATTACATTAACAATCTGTATGAGTAATATAAGCACTGTTATATGTAGTATGTCCACTGACCAGATGCTGTTAAAATTACATATTGGTATATCTCATGATAAGTTATGTCCCCTAACCAATAAAGAGAGAAATTATTCATCACAAATGATGCAGAATAAAAGGAAAAGTAAGCACATTAAAAAGTAATATTTACAACCAGTACAACTGGCTCAATTCCTGCTCACGCAGCTGAGCCTAGTTAGATGTACAGGCTGGCCTGGCTCGACATATGTAGTAAAGGCATTTCATGAGTGATGCTTGTATTTTTACCATGTTGAATATCTTACATGGAAATGTCAAATATTTCAATGGGGACAAAAACATTCATCATTTTAGGGACAATTTTAAATGAATAGCGAACAATGCAGACCCTGATCAGACAGCACATACATGCCAACTGCCCACAGTCAGCACTTGTTTTCATGGGTTGATTCTAAAACCATAAGCAGACCAAGGCTGCAATTTCATATAATTTTGCTGTTCTTAATGCTTCCAAGGGATCACTTTTTCCCAGATATTAATATAAGATTCCATCACATTACATGCATTATAGAAGCATTGTTCATTAATAATCCTTAAAGTTTACATAACTTAATTAAATTTAAAGCTGTGCAACTGTATATCATTATTATTACTAAAGCCTGTGTGTGGCCTATGAATTTATATATTAAATATTATTATAAGCATAAAATATTATCATTCCATCAAACTTTATATCAACTTAATTATCTACATTGGGTAATAAAACTGTTAGATATAAACCTATGGTAAATGATATAATTACGATAAATTCAGTTCATATAAACTATCCATTGAAAGATTAATTGTGAAGAAAGTTATGAGCTTTTTTTTAAAAACCCACTGAAAACATGACAATGAATTATGGCCCCTGAAATAACAATGAAACACAACAATGATCCTTAAAATGACATGTTTATATGGCAATAAAAACAACTAAATGGCCATAACCCCTAAAAGAGCAAGGAAATATGGCCATGACCCATCAATGAGCAAGGAAATATGTTCATGACACCTAAAAGAGCAAGAAAATATGCCCATGACACCTAAACTGGCAATGTTATAACCTCTAAAATGACAAGGAAACACAGCAATGACTCCTAGAAACTAAAGAAGCTCACTCCAGCCATTCTAAATTGCACTTTCATGTTTAACTCAATGAACTGTATTTTCCTGAGAGTATATCATAATGAATGACTTACCAAGTTTATCAAAGCCAGGATACTTTTTATGGACAATAACCTATCAATTTTGGAATGTGACCCAATATATCAGCTATCAAATTGCCAATTTTCTGAGCCAATATTTTTAATCATATTCCAAAGAGAAACTAGAATCTTTTTTCCAAAATGTTGGCAAAAAATTCTTATTAATCCATATAATTGTACCATGTTATGATTATTTTGTATGTGTGAGCAGTTTCACGGCATGTACAGAGAGACATTTGTTTTCAAACTTCTTACTAACCTAGGCTTAAACATTTTATCAACCTAACCTAGCAACACATCAGAGCAAGCAAAACAAAGATCCCAGAAGTAACTGAATCGCTCCTTGAAAGTTATTGACACCCATGCAATTAGTATGATTTTAGCTAAATGATCATTATACATGTATTTGAATCAAAAAATGTTTAAAAGATGAGAGATACATAAGCGTGTTCCCAATCTTACCACAATCAAGGTAAATTCCCCAACACTTTCTTCCAGTTGCTACAATGGATTTGTATGTTGTTCATTATATGGTATTTTGCCTTCAGAACAAAAATGATGATATAAAATTAATTTACAAGTAAAAATATATGCTGGCTGATCTTGGTCTGCACTGGTTGCATGGGTAGATTTTGTAGCAGTTCCAGGGGTTAACATGTTTTGAATGGGACCCAAGTTAATTAAAACAAGAAACATGGCAATGCCATGAAACCAGGTTTTCAATTATCACCATTGTAGATAAATATGTTGTAGTTGAAATACAAATACAAGCAACAAACAATGTTACTATGTGCAATGTAAATCATGAATAATGTAGGAGGTAATTTGGGCACAGAAGAAATTGTTCACTATATATTCTGTATAAGAAAAAAAAACAAAGAGCCATAATTAGGTCAAATATTGTACAATCACAAAACCCCGACAATGTGAGCCGGGGCACTTGATGACAAAGCTTCTGTGAAAGTTTGGTCAAAATCCGTTGAGAAATGTAGGAGAAGTTGAGCACAGAAGAAATTGTTCACTATTTATTCTGTATAAGGAAAAAAAACAAAGGGCCATAATTAAGTCAAATATTATCCAATCACAAAACTCTGACAATATGCGCCAGGGCACTTGATGACAAAGCTTCTGTGAAAGTTTGGTCAAAATCCGTTGAGAAATGTAGGAGGAGTTGCGCACAGAAGGAGCTGTTCACTATATATTCTATATAAAGGAAAAAAACAAAGGGCCATAATTAAGTCAAAAATTATCCAATCACAAAAGCCCCACAATATGTGCCAGGGCACTTAATGACACAGCTTCTGTGAAAGTTTGGTCAAAATCTGTTGAGAAATGTAGGAGGAGTTGCGCACAGAAGAAATTGTTCACTATATATTCTATATAAGGAAAAAAAAACAAAGGGCCATAATTAGGTCAAATTTTATCCAATCACAAAACCCCGACAATATGCGCCAGGGCACTTGATGACAAACATTCTGTGAAAGTTTGGTCAAAATCCGTTGAGAAATGTAGGAGGAGTTGCGCACAGAAGAAATTGTTTACGCCTGCCCGCCCGCCGACATACCTCAATCTAATAACCAGTTTTTTCCTTTGGAAAACCTGGTTAAAAATATTAAAATGTCTGTAATGAAGTTTTGATTGTTAAATACATAAAAGAAATTTTATTTGGGTTCTATGAAACTTGAATTCATTACCTAAAATTTTCCCTTAGGAAATAACTGCTGCAATGAAACTCACGGACCTTTCAAGTATCTACTAAATGAAAAAGCAGGCTTTACCAAGCCATAAGGTTTCAGAACTGCTATATAAAGTACTCTATCAAGATTGAAAGGCTTAACAATGCATTTTTTTTTCAATATTTACCTTTATTTTTTGTGAGTAAATCAGAACTGTGCACCAATTAAACATTGAAACATGTTATGCATTATTATTTATGCTATTATCTGCTTTAACCACTAACAACTATCATTAGCTTTTTCTACTGGATAATACATTGGATATAAAAAACATTTAGTAATGTGAATTTTATTATGTACATGGCAAAATTATATTTCAAACATGTACTTAAATTGGCACCATGCCCAACACCACTTGTTTTATATCACTTTACTATAACCTGTACTTTTTTGTATTTATTTTAAGTCACATCTACACTCTTAAGATCATTTGGAGATTTCCAGCTTTACTGGTGGAGGAAGATTTGTGCATTATTTCAGACACAAGCTGGCACCTGAATAGAACTACTGACATTCTGTAAGCTAGCCAGAGTAGCTTACCCGCACGAAAGTATCCGAAGTCTTTTGTGGGATTTGCACACACAGTGATGAGGAGGCAATGGTTCGAAGTAAATGACTGTGACCACTTGGCCACAGACGTACCTTAAAGCTTTTTCAGTTCAGCTAACCTATTATAATATATCAAATAAAAATTCAGCCAAAAGGATATTTTCTTACCATTATACAATTTGGTTTTCCAGCTGTCCATAGGTTGACTTTCCTGTCCTCCCCACCAGTCACCATTACTCTGCCAGTCTTGTGACCCATTGCTAAACAATTCACATTGGCCCCATGAGCTACAAACTCCTCTGAAAAAAACATTAAACAATCCTTTTTATCACTAACAAGGTTAAGGTAAAACTTTCCTACTGCATTACCCTGTTTAAAAAGCGTCTCTTTAGTAAATGCATGTCTCCCTGACCATTTTTCATAATGAAAGGCAAGGCTAGGGTCAAACTATCCTACTGTATATTAAACCTGTTCACATACTTCTCTAACAAATTCAAGTTTCCTTGACTTTTTTTTTGTTAAGAATTAATCAAGGGGTTCCAGTTTTCAATACTTAAAATGCTTAGATTTAGTTTGACCATATTTGGTAACACCAGTAGGTAGTAATGATACATCACATACATACAATGATACATATATGACAGTTACTCACTGTGATTCCTTTTTAAAATATAGAGGCAGTCATAACTAGTTGTTTTTTTATTAATTTGGAAAGTCAGCAGTTTAAAAGAGTACTGTAAAATATTCAGACTTAATCTTTGGCAAAGGGCAAAAGTAAAATACATTGTAAAACCAACAAAGAAATAAATTTGTTATGCTGGCAAGGCAAAATTTCTCTGCAACATGGAGTCAACTGATCATTCTTCTCTCAAAAATCATGTTGGACTGGAAGTTGGTCACTTGCAGAGAAATTGGCAATTACTGGTTTGTTATACATTACAAGAAAGCAGGTTAAGTGGATTGCCTGCCGAGATATATTAAACAAAAATATAATGTGTTTATTGGTATAAAAACCAAACAAACTATATCCACCTGGTGGCTTTTTTTTAGTTTTGCAGCTTTCTTTAGGTTTTGTAAAGTGCCATATGTGGGTACAAATGACAAATATCTGAGTGATGTTACAAACCAGTGCCAGAAGTTTAACCTATTACCGCATGAGCATTTTGTGAAAAATGGCTGTTTTCATTGAAAAGTCTCCCGTTACAAGTTCAAGTTGCTATAAAACTATAAAAACTGCTTCAATACTAATCAAACTTGGTGCAAATGTTGACTGGACCATTGCCTTTGTAACAAAATGCTCAGTCTTAAATTTCCTGTTACCATGGCAACTAGGGGATATCTCAAAATTGCCAAAAATCACTATTTTCCGTTGATTTTTTCCATCAAAATTGATTTCAAAGTGCTGCCACTTCTCAATGGATTGAGATAGAGTCAAAGGCTTTTCAGCGTTGGTTACATGTTACCTTATGAACGACTTGGGGTCATTTTTAGCCTCTTACAAGTCCAAAAATTTTTGCGATGAGGGGGACTGCCGCCCCCCTTCAAACACCCCAAACAGAAGGGGGCACATCACCCTTCTGGCAACCCCCTGATGTACCTTTTAGATGGGGGACGGCGTCGAAAAAGTGGTCACTTTTTTAATCAATATTTCTCAAACAAAAACAAGTGTTGGGGGCCTAAATTAGACATTTTTTCACCATTTGAGAAAGCAAAAAGTAGGGGGGGGGGGGGGGGGTGAAAAAGGCGAAGGCGTATATATATCTGGTAATGGGTTAATAAGAATTATGATAATTGACAATGTAATGATAACTTTTATAGAATTTGTGTTGAAGGTTATTATTGTTCATGTGCCATTTGTTTTTTTAAAACTTCAAAAATTTGACAAATTAACAATGCTGTGCAAAGGCATAATTATGTAATGCTTGAATAATCACTATTGGCCTCAGAGTCATCTCGACCCTAAACCAACTCAGCACGGGTCAACTTGTCCCATAATTACATATTACTGGTATTAATTAATTTACGTTCAAAACTTTTTACATATTTTCATTTTTACTTTCATAGGTTTATACTAATATGATACTTAGTTTACAAGTTTTATTGGTGAAAGAATTTAAATTTGTTTAGAAAGGAAGAATTTACAATTTAGATGTATCAGGGTGTTCATTAGCCATGAAATCCTGAGGGTCATTTTAACTAAGTTTTACTGACTACAAGGTCAAATCCCCATGATTTTAACAAAATTTGACCCTCCAGTTAAAATCCTGAGGGTCAAATCAGGCTTTTTGGAAATTTGAAGGGTCAAAGTCATTTCAAGGGTCAAACGGACACCCTGTATGTTTGCCTACTTCCGATATCTTTGAAGAAATGTTGTTCAATCAGCATTTGGTGTTATAAAGAACAAAAAGTGTTGAATATAATTACATTAATTGTTACAAATTTCAATCAAAAATTCCTATTTATGGATCAATCATTAAAATATATTGTCTTCATACAGTACAGATTAAGCGATTTTTGCACATTCAGCTTTGCGGACACTTTTAATGGTTAGGGAAAAATAACAGGGGACATACCATGGTCAGTCACAGTAACAAATCACCGCAGACTGGTAAAAAATCCTCACAATCCAAGGTGAAAAGTCACAGAGATTCGTGGTGATCAATATTGCATATACATGTTCACATACATGTTTACTGTAGTCTTGGTAGAAAAAATCAATTTTACACTTAACAATAACACTATCCAGTAATTAAAACTTTTTCCTGAAACAACCAAACACTAATCAATCCCATATGATTTATAAATCAACAGTGAGACTGACAGCTTAAGGTGTGTGTGATGTATATGAGTTTATTTAAACTCGCCACCGGTTGCCCATATGGGCGAGTCCTCCAGAAGAGTATTAGTCATTTCATATTTTTGGAGGATAGTGCAAGAGTCAGATACAGAAAGATACCCCAATTCCAGAAGCTTCCTCTGGTTCTTTAAAGTGCCAAGTGTTTCAGCACTCATACACAGGACCTCGATTTAAAGTCTCATCGGCAAGACTGATTAGTAATTTTGGTTGGCCAGCCCGGGAATCGAACCCACAATGTCGAGATTACAAGTCTCGCACTCTAACCGATTGAGCTATGGTGACTGGTTACAGCTTAAGGTCTTCAGCATACCCGTTTTTATACTGTGACAGGACGAACGCTGTCTCTGACAAAAAAATGTTTAAAAAGCTGCTTATAAAGGTTTGGAAGCAAGAACCAGGGGACTGACAGACAAATGAACCTTCCAGATTCAATAGAAATAAATTCTACTGGTGACAACAATAAAGCGTACATAAGTTCCTAAAAAGTGAACACTTCATTCTTGACTTTAACAGTTATAATCAACTTTTTCTCTAAGTGGTCCTGGGAACTCAGTGAAAATCAAAGAGATTGAAAACGAGTGTATAAAAAAATGAAAAATGAAATGACGACAAGGCCTTAAACGAGCTACTTACGCAGCTTCCATGCTCTTTTGGTCTGTGACATTTTAACTGTGGATATATGCTTTAAATCATACGATAGAAAGTAGTATATAACTAAATAAATGGCCTTTTAGAAGATATTTGAGTCCATGACTTCAGCTTCGACCATTTTATTGTTCACTTGCAATAGTTTGTTTCATTGGACAATGATTTAGAGAATTTTCCAAGTGACCAATCAAAAGGGCCGTTTTAACAGTGTAATCTGGGTGTTGCGCAAGCTCCAGAGTTTTACTTTTTACTACTTCCTGTTTACAATTTCAGAAGCCTTCGCAATTGAAGGTTTCAATTGTTAAAATTATGTTTTCTCTTCGAATATCAAATGTTTTTACTAAGCATTTAAGCAGAAATGTACATTACATACAGGGCCAGTCGCCAGAACCGAAAATACGAGAATATTTCTATTTTATAGATCATCAAGGCCAGGTAAAACATCTTACATAAATGGGTGTAGTCGATCAAACGTACCAAAATCAAAATGTACCCACTAGTTCATTGAATGACTGTAATTTATATTGCTGTGACTGACTGTAGTTAATATTGCACTGGCTGACTGTTATTTATATTGCTGTAGTATATATGCAATATAAACTAATGTCTGTCAGTCACAGGAATATAAATTACAGTCAGTCACATTAATATAAATTACAGTCAGCCACAGCAATATAAATTACAGTCAGCCACAGCAATATAAACTACAGTCTGTTACAGAAATATAAATAACAGTCAGTCAGTGCAATATAAATAACAGTCATTTACAGCAATATAAATAACATTCAGTCACAGAAATATATATACTACAGTCAGTCACATTAATATAAATTACAGTCAGCCAGTGCAATATAAACTACTGTCAGTTACAGCAATATAAATAACAGTCACCAGTGCAATATAAACTACAGTCATTCACAGCAATATAAACTACAGTCATTCACAGCCATTTAAATAACAGTCAGCCAGTGCAATATAAATAACAGTCAGTCACAGCAATATAAATAACAGTCATTCACAGCGATATAAACTACAGTCATTCACAGAAATTGAAATTACTGTCATTTACAGCAACATGAATTAAGTCTGTCAAAGAAATATTAATTATAGTTGTTCACAGCAATATTAATTACAGTCAGTCACAGCAATAAATGTTACAATCATTCAATACAATATATCGATTACAGTCAGTCACAGCAATATAAACTACAATCAGACACAACCGTATAAATTACAGTCAATCACAGTAATATAAACTACAGTCAGTCACTGCAATATAAATTACAGTAACTGACACCAATATAAATTACAGCCAGTCACAGCAATATAAATTACATTCAGTCACAGAAATATAAACTACAGTCAGGCACAGCAATATAAATTACAGTCAATCACAGCAATATAAATTACAGTCAATCACAGCAATATAAATTACAGTCAGGCACAGCAATATAAATTACATTCAGTCACAGCAATATAAATTACATTCAGTCACAGAAATATAAATTACAGTCAGGCACAGCAATATAAATTACAGTCAATCACAGCAATATAAATTACAGTCAATCACAGCAATATAAATTACAGCCAGTCACAGCAATATAAATTACATCCAGTCACAGAAATATAAATTACAGTCAGGCACAGCAATATAAATTACAGTCAATCACAGCAATATAAATTACAGTCAATCACAGCAATATAAATTACATTCAGTCACAGCAATATAAATTACATTCAGTCACAGCAATATAAATTACATTCAGTCACAGAAATATAAACTACAGTCAGGCACAGCAATATAAATTACAGTCAATCACAGCAATATAAATTACAGTCAATCACAGCAATATAAATTACAGCCAGTCACAGCAATATAAATTACATTCAGTCACAGAAATATAAACTACAGTCAGTCACAGCAATATAAATTACAGTCAGTCACAGCAATATAAATTACAGTCAGTCACAGCAATATAAATTACAGTCAGTCACAGCAATATAAATTACAGTCAGTCACAGCAATATAAATTACAGTCAGTCACAGCAATATAAAGTACAGTCAGTCACAGCAATATAAACTACAGTCAGTCACAGCAATATAAATTACAGTCAGTCACAGCAATATAAATTACAGTCAGTCACAGCAATATAAACTACAGTCAGTCACAGCAATATAAATTACAGTCAGTCACAGCAATATAAATTACAGTCAGTCACAGCAATATAAATTACAGTCCGTCACTGCAATATAAACTACAGTCAGTCACTGCAATATAAATTACAGTCCGTCACTGCAATATAAATTACAGTCCGTCACTGCAATTTAAGTTACAGTCAGGCACAGCAATATAAATTACAGTCAACCACAGCAATATAAACTACAATCAGACACAGCCGTATAAATTACAGTCAATCACAGTAATATAAACTACAGCCAGTCACAGCAATATAAATTTAGTCAACCACAGCAATATTAATTACAGTCAGGCACAGCAATATAAATTACAGTCAATCACAGCAATATAAATTACAGTCATTTACTGCAATTTAATTTACAGTCAGTCACAGCAATATAAATTACAGTCCGTCACTGCAATATAAACTACAGTCCGTCACTGCAATTTAAGTTACAGTCAGGCACTGCAATATAAATTACAGTCAACCACAGCAATATAAATTACATTCAGGCACAGCAATATAAACTACAGTCAATCACAGCAATATAAATTACAGTGAGTCAGTCACTGCAATATAAATTACAGTCCGTCACTGCAATATAAGTTACAGTCATTCACAGCAATATAAATAACAGTCATTCACAGCAATATATATTACAGTCGTTCACAGCAATATAAATTACAGTTGGTCACAGCAATAAAAAGTACAGTCAGTCACAGCAATATAATTTATAGTCATTCACAGCAATATTAATTACAGTTAGCCACAGCATAAGAAATTACAATCAGTCACAGCTATATAAATAACAGTCATTCACAAAAATATAAATTACAGTCTTTCACAAAAATATAAATTACTGTCATTCAAAGCAATATTAATTACAGTCAGTTATAACAATATAAATTACAGTCTGTCACAGAAATATAAATTAAAGTCACGCAATCTACTATTTGTTAAGTGGGTTATTATTAGTTACAGCCAATCAATATACTACTATTCATTCCTGATATTTTCTCTTTTCAGTTATTCTTAGATGATTCAAAGATGAAGAATTTCACGTCATGTTTTAAAGGTAATATAACTTTAACTTTAAAGTTGGTATGTGATTTAAGTATGAGGCTGTAGTCGCATGTGGCAATGCCAAACTGGATATTTTTATTATAAGTGACCAATTTTTCAATTTTGCAAAATACATACTTGAAACCTTTCTTTTTTAGTGGTGAAGAAATGTTGACCATGACCTGCATTAAAAGGTTTTTTGAGCTACACTGGGATCGGGTGGGTTTAATTGTTTCTTTCTACACATTAATTTTCTTATCTGTATTTGATGGACTTAAAATGGTTTCTTATTCATAAGTTATTGTTTTATTTCAGAAAAGAAATTCTTGGACTTCTTCTTCAAGAGACTTCGATTGAATGAAACTGGGAGATATGTGGAAGACTTCCCTTTTTTATCACCATGTGGGCGTGAACGGAACTTTATACGTTGTGATGACCGACCAATAGTTTACGTGCATTTGACAGATAATAAAGAAAAGGGTTTGAAGGATATTTTGTCATATGGATATTCAGGGAGTCAAACATTGAATGTTAAGTTCGAGCCTAGTAAAATATGCATGTTACCGGAAACCGGTCGTATATATCATCCTGCCGATCCGGATTTAGGCGGAGTTGGACTGATTAAATCGAGTATAGCTATTTCAATAAGTAAATATTTCGACTTTGAAAATGGCGAGGAGAATCCACCTACACATTTTACGTGGAACGGAGAGAAACATACTCTTAATAATGATTTGTTGTCAGTTATTAATCTAGATCCTAAAGAGGCGTGCAAAGTTTTATTTGAAAAAGAAGCATAAAATTTATATATACCTTTAAAGAAGACAAGACAAAAGTTGAATTAGAGAATCATATTCATGAATAATCATTAAAGATAATTAAATTTTGATTAAAAAATGATCTTCATTTTGAGAATAAAAATGTTCTATAAAAGTTTTTATTAAAGTGAGCATTAATAATATAAAAATTTAAGACAAAGCATTCTACCAGTTTTGAAATGAATGTCTGCATCAGAAATGAGCAGAATAATGATAAAAGTGAAAGATATGTGTTAAATTATGGTTACTATAAAAAATGTATACATTGACTTTGTCAATTTAATGAGTGCTTGAAAGCTTACTATGATAACCTAATTTTTGATAATATTTTTTGGTGCAATTTGTTATCATTTTCTCAGAGATGAATAGCATCGCATGTGTGACTAGAATTATGTACACTATGTAACCACAGCCCAGCCACTCCCTGGAAGTAGCAGGGACTTAAACTTTGGATGGTAATTAAAGGTCTTGTCTAGCAGAGACATTAAGATGTTCAAATCTCTGCTAAAATGGATATGATAATATGGACATATCACAAACCATTTTGCTGCCAAAACGCAGTCATTGCCCAGCTGAAGAAAATAGGAAACTCGGCTCATATTACACACTATCTTCCACACATCATCAGGGAATGGTGGACTGTGAATTCATTTGACTACAATGTAGTGTTGTGCCTAATCTGATTAACAAGTCATAGTTGCTGATATGAAAATGTTTTTCACTTTCACTGTGATAATTTATTTTATAAAATGATTCGGAACAATTTATTAATTTTCTTTGAAAATAAAATACCAATAAAAGTAGTCATGTGATCTTATCTTTTTAAGTAAACTTTAAAAATTCTGTTGCCATGGCAACCAGAAGAAAACTTCCCTGAAAACATTATAGCTCTACATTTCAAAGAAAAAGTAGAGCTGTTGCTATGACCAACTTGCCATCATAGGTGTTTTTTTTAATACATGTATTTTGGTAAGGTCAATTATTTCAATGCTTGAAAAGCTATTGCATTGAAACTTCATATGAAGATGCCCATTCAAGTCTTGATGAATGGTATCTGCCATACCCTTCTTCTGCTCAAATGTAAATAGGTCATGAAATAACAAAGTAGAAAACTGACCTATAAACATTGAAATTATTATAAGTGCATTCACCATGGAACTTCAAACTTTGTATGTTCACAAAAACTTTTCTCATAATTTTTAAACGCCCGTTTAAAAAACAGGTCTTATTATAGTTACCCCCTGGCTGGCAGTGAGGCAATGTCCAATACTTTGTCCGGAACATATCTGCTACACGCAAGGAGGAATTTTAATGAAACTTTATAAAAATGTACACAACTATGAAAAGCTGTGTCGCACAAGAACCAGGTCTCTAGGTCAAAGGTCAAGGTCACATTATAAAGGTCATTGAAAAACACTTGTCAGGAGCAAACTTCTACATGCATTGAGGGATTTCAATGTTACTTGGCACAAATATTCACCAAAGTGTCATGTGTGAAATTAAGGTCTCTGCAGCCAAGTTCAAGGTCAAACATTGGGGTCGAAGTACAGATAAAAATATGAAAATGTGAATTCGGACCATTTAGTTATCATTTATTAAAGGATTGAAACACAGGGTCATTAGCATAACTTTTGGTGTGAAATATTTTATTTAGGTTAATTAAATGCAAGGTCAAGGTCACTAAAGATGATAAAATATAGAAATTTTGTCCAGAGCATCATTCTCCTTCATGCATGGTGGGATTCTAATGAAACTTCATAGAAATGTTCACCAATATGAGAAGCAGTGTCACATGCTTGAACCAGTCTCTAGTTTAAATTAAAATCACACTTAGAGGTCATTGACTACAAGTGTGACACGTGTAATTTAAGTTTATATTTGCAAGGTCAAGTTCACTAGAGAATATCCAGATATTGCTCACAGAATATCTTCTATATGCATATCTATAATGCCCACACCTCTGTCAAAAGCTTTTGTGATGGGCGTTTCTTGCAACAATGTTGCCCTTGTTTCAGTTCTCAAGGATTTTCTTCAAACCTGGACACAGCAACCCTTTGCACAAGACCTTCAAGAAGATTAGACAAAACTTTACATTGAATGATAAACGACCTTGACCTTCCAGGTCAAATTTTTTATTTTTGCTACAACTGGCTACATCTTGATTGGATTGTCTTCATACTTGGAAATAACAATCATTTAAACAAGACCATCAAGTAGACCAAATAGACTTTGACCTATATTCATAGATAACCTTGACCTTTAAGTCAAGCTATTGAATTTTGCTTGAATTTTGCTGTTATTGGCTATTACTTTGTTATTTATGATTGTTTTGTCCCCATACTTGGAAGCAACAATCAATGACAATGACCTTTATTCATCAATAACCTTGACCTTGAAGGTCAAACTATTAAAATTTGCTTGATTTTTAGCTAAACTATACGAAGTTTATGGAGAGCTGACCTACTTGCCCCGGCGATGGCTTCGGCGTCCGCATCTGCGTCCAGATTTCAGATTAAAGTTTTGGTGCAGTAAAATATTTTTCACTATAACTTTGTCATTTCTTAAGGTATTAACTTCAAACTTCAAATATATGTTCCTTATTATCAACCACATCTTATGTGACAAGGTTCATAACTCTAGCACAAATATTTTCAGATTTATCTCCCCTTGAACTTAAAATTTTCGTGAAAAAATATTATTTTTTACTGTTACTTCTTTATTTCTTAGGGGATAAACTTCATACTTCAAATATATGTTCCTTATCATCATTCACATCTTATGTTACAAGGTTCATAACACTAGCACCAATATTTTCAGATTTATCTCCCCTTGAACTTAGAATTTTCCTTAAAAAATACTATTTTTTACTGTTACTTCTTTATTTCTTAAGGGATCAACTTTATACTTCAAATACATGTACCTTATCATCATCCACATCTATGTGACAAGGTTCATAACTCTAGCACCAATATTTTCAGATTTATCTCCCCTTCAACTTAGAAATTTCCTGAAAAAACATTATTTTTTACTGTTACTTATTTATTTCTTAAGGGATCAACTTCAAACTTCAAATATTATTATTAATCACATATTATGTGTTAAGGTTCACAACTCTAGCACCAATATTGCAAGAATTATCTCCCCATAAACTTAATTTTTTTTACTAAAAAAATGTTATTTTTTACTATAACTTTTTAGTTTTAAAGGTATCTACCTCAAACTTCAAATACTTATTCCTTATCATCAATTACATTTTATGTGATAACTTAAGGTTCAAAACTCTTGAACCAATATTTACAGATTTATTTCTCTTTGAACTTAGGATTTTCTTTAAGAAATATTATAACTCTACTTTTTAAGGTATCTACTTCAAATATATATTTCTTATGATTACACACATGTTGTTTGACAAGGTTCATAACTCTAGCGTGACTATTTCCAGAATTATTCCCCTTGATCTTGGAATTTATGTTAACAATGTTATTTTTTTACCATAACTTAATACATAATTATACATAATTGATTTTTCTTTCATAGTTTTTTCTTTCTTACTGCGTCCAGTATTTTATTAGTCGAGCTTTGCTGTCTCCTGTGACAGCTCTTGTTGCTGTTATTGGATATTAATTTGTTATTTATAAACAGCAACCTTTAGAACAATGATGAAACTGGTGGTGGTATTGGTAGTTTTCACTCTGGATAATGGCAGTAAGCCACATTAATTCACCTGAGCACAGTTCAGCTACCGCACCGTTCCTGGGCAAGCTTTTAAACAGTTTACCAGTACTAGTTGCCTTCACTTTCATAAGGAACTGATAACTTTGTACATGCCAGTGCAGAGGTACAGTGCGAATGAACATAGAATGGATTTCATGATCAATCACAACAAAAGTGACCTGCACCGTCCGAGAATCGAACTAGGGTCGCCCAATTTACAGTCCAACGCTCTACCTATTGAGCTCACTGGACAGCTCAATAATCAAACTTAATTTGACTTGGACTGGTCTATGACCTTAACCTTGAAGGCCAAATAGTTTCACTGTTATTTAGCTCACCTGAGCACCAAATGCTCAAGAGTGAACTTATGGGATCACTCTGTTGTATGTCAATAATGGCGCCAAACTTTTTCTTAAAACATGCCATGGCAACTGAGAGAAAAAAAAACTTAAAAAGTATTCTTCTAAAAACCCCATAGAGCTATCTCTAGAGCTTAGATATTTAGCATGAAACACCATCTGGTGGGTATCTTCAAAGTTTCTTTATATAAAAGCCCAGCCACACAAAGATGTGACTTCTCATAGCAACCAAAAATTTCCCAAAGTAAGTATTGTCTCCCATAGCACAAACAACAAGCACAAACTTTCCATAGCAACCAGTGACTTTCCATAGCAACCAAAGACTTCTATATCAACTATTGTTTTCCATAGCAACATATAGACTTTCCATAGCAACCATAAATTGCCATAGTGACTCCCAAGCAACCAGTGACTTTGCATAGCAACAATTGACTTACATAGCAACCATTGGCTTTTCATAGCAACCATGAATTTCAATAGCTACCAGTGACTTTCAATAGCAACCACTGATTATTTCCATAGCAACCAGTGACTTTCCATACCAACAATTGACTTCCATAGCAACCAGTGACTTTCCATACCAACAATTGACTTCCATAGCAACCAGTGACTTTCCGTAGCAACAAGTGACCTCTTTAGTAACCATTGACTTTCCATAACCACATATGCCTTTCCATGGCAACTAGTGACCAATATTGCAACCATTGACTTCCATAGCGAACATTAATCTTTCATAGCACCTAATGACTTCCATATCAACCAGTGACTTTCCAACACAACCAGTGACTTTCCAGAGCAACCAGTGATTTACAAAGCAACCATAGACATCTTTAACAAATATTGATGTTCTATGGCAACCATAGACCTCTTTAGCAACCAGTGATTTTCCATAACAACATATGCCTTTCAATGTCAACCAGTGACCAATATTGCAACCATCGACTTCAATAGCGAACATTAAATTTCCTTAGCAACAACTTACTTCCATAGAAACCAGTAACTTCCCAATCCAACCAGTGACTTTCCATAACAACATATGCCTTTCCATGGCAACCATTGACCAATATTACAACTATTGACTTCCATAGCGAACATTTACTTGCCATAGCAACCAATGACTTCCATGGTAACCAGTGACTTTCCTAAGCAACAATAGACCTCTTGAGTAACCATTGACTTTCCATAACCACATATGCCTTTCCATGGCAACCAGTGACCAATATTGCAACCATTGACTTCCATAGCGAACGTTAATCTTCCATAGCAACCAGTGACTTTCCATAGCAACCAAAGACTTCCATATCAACTATTGTTTTCCATAGCAACCAGTGACTTTCCATAGCAACCAGTGATCTATATTGCTCCATGGCAAGCATTGACTTCGATAGCAATCAGTGAATTTCCATAGATTCCATAGCAAGGGATGACTTTCTGCAGCAACCATTGACTTTCATAGCAAACAGTGACTTCAAATAGCAATTACTGACTCTCACAGCAACCAGCAACCATTGACTTTCCATAGCAACTGATGACTTCCAAATATTTGCTTTCCACAGCAACCATTGACTTCTATAGTAACCAGTGGCTTTATAGCAGCCATTGAGTTTTCATAGCAAACATAAACTTCCATAGTAACGTGTGAATCTACCATTGAATTTCGTAGCAGGCATTCACTTCCAAGGAAACCATTTATTTTGTACAGCAACCAGTGACGTCTTTATAAACTATTG